TGCTTGATGATAGTGATTCAAACTTGATCAGACTTCTGCTTGATGATAGTGATTCAAAGTCTTTGGATAAAAATATGTCATATACATTTAGAATATATGTTAGTTATAATGTTTGTCAGAGCTGCTTTGATAGTGCACCACACAGAGTGGCTTAAACAATAGAAATGTATTGTCTCACAGTTCTCAAGGCTGAAAGTTTAAGATCAAGGTATCAGCATGATTAAACATCTACCCTATGCTTCTTGTTCTTTTTTATGACATTGGAATATACCATATTTGAAAAATGGATTTTAGAAAAACTAATGGAATCCAAAAAAGTTTGGAGTTTAGTGACTAATAATATATTAATATTGATTCATTAGTTATGACAAGTGTGCCATAATAATGTAAGAGTTAATGATAGATGAATTCTATCACAAATGAAATTACAAATTATATTACAAAGCAATAGTAATCAAAACAGTGTGGTACTGGCATAAAAACAGTCATATAGACTATTGGAACAGAATAGGAAGCTTATAAATGAAGCCATGCATAAATGGTCAGCTAATTCTCAGCAAGAGTGCCAAGAATACACCATAGGGAAAGGATAGTGTCTTCAGTAAATGGTGATAGGAAAACTGTTATTAACATGGAGATGAATGATATTGAATCCTTATCTCACACCATACACAAAAAATCAACTCAAACTGGATTAAAGATTTAAATGTGAGACTTGGAGCCATAAAACTAGAACAAAACATAGGGAAAATACTCTTTGACATTGGTCTGGGCAATGATTTTTTGGATATGATACCAAAAGCACAGGCAACAAAAGCAAAAATAAACAAGTGGGACTACGTCAAACTAAAAAGTTCCTGCATGCAAAAGAAACAAGCAGCAAAATGTAAGGCAACCTATGGAATGGGAGAAAATATTGCAAACCATACATTTGATAAGGGGTTAATATTCCAATACATATAAGGAACTCAGACAACTCAGGTGCAAAAACAAAAACGACCTAATTAAAAAAAAAATGGAAAAAAGGACCTGACATTTTTTCAAAGGAGACATACAAATGTCCGACAGGTATATGAACATCATTGTTCATCAAGGAAATGCAAACCAAAACCACAATGAGATATCACGTCACACATATTATAATGGCTACTATCAAAAAGACAAAAGTGTTGACGAGGGTGTGGACAGAAAGGAACCTGTCGGTGGGAATGTAAATTGGCACAGACACTATGGAAAACACTATGGTGGTTTCTCAAAAAACTAAAAATAGAATTACCGTATCATCCAACAATCCCACTTCTGGGTATAAATCCCAAAAGAAGTAAAATCAGAATCTCTAAGAGCTAGCTGTATTGCTATGTTTATTGCAGCATTATTCACAGTAACTAAGATATGGAAACAACATATCTATAGACAAATGAGTGGATAAACAAAAGGTGTGTGTATATGTACATATGTAATGGAATATTATTCAGCCTTAAAAAAAGGAGGTCCTAGGCCGGGCGCGGTGGCTCAAGCCTGTAATCCCAGTACTTTGGGAGGCCGAGGCGGGTGGATCACGAAGTCAGGAGATCGAGACCATCCTGGCTAACATGGTGAAACCCCGTCTCTACTAAAAATACAAAAAAAAAACTAGCCGGGCATGGTGGCGGGCGCCTGTAGTCCCAGCTACTCGGAGGCTGAGGCAGGAGAATGGCGTAAACCCGGGAGGCGGAGCTTGCAGTGAGCCGAGATCGGGCCAGTGCACTCCAGCCTGGGTGACACAGCGAGACTCCGTCTCAAAAAAAAAAAAAAAAGGAGGTCCTGCTATTTGCAACAACATGGATGAACTTGGAGGACATTATGCTAAGTGAAATAAGGTAGACACAGAAAGACAAATACTGCATGATCTCTGTTACATTTTCAAAAGTCAAACTCATGGAAACAGAATAGATGGGTAGTTAACCAGACATGAGGGTAGGGGAGATGGGAAAATGTTGGTCAAAGGGTACAAGCTTTCAGTGATAAGAAAAACAATTTCTGATGTACAGCGTGGTGACTATGGTTAATAATTATTCTATTCTTGAAATTTACTGAGAGTAGATCTCAAGTGTTCTCCCCATACATACAAAAAAGGTAACTAGTGAGTCCATGGATATGTTAATAAGCCTGTGTGGTAATCATTTCACAAGGTATATGTATGTCAAAATGTCATGTGGTACACCTTAAATATATGGAATTTTTATTTGTCCATCATACCTCAATAAGACTGGAAAAAAAATAGAGGAAACTGAATGACAGGTATATGGGAACTCTGTATTGTATTTGGAACTTTTCTGTATATCTAAAGCTATTCTAAAATCAAAAGGTTATTCAAATATAAACATCCTTTTATAATATAAAATGGTGTCTATGTTAAACATTCCATGAATGCTGTACTTGGAATTATTATGTAATTATATTGTTTCTAATGCCATTGCTTATACATGTTTTTGTGCTCAAGAACAAATTGGATATGGCCTCTAGAGGACAGTGTTGGGTCATAGAAAGATGTTTACAATTTCTGCCCAAGTTGAAGATGGTCATAACCATTTTTCTTCTTATTTTCTAACCACAAGGCCTGTTTATTCATTGTCCCTCTTTTAAAAACAACAATAACAAAGAACATTTATGACTTGTCCACTATTCTGACTAGTTGGCTGTTTTGTTTTAACTTATTTTCGTGTAATTTTGGTTCCACAAAGATCTATTAGGCGAGAAAGATCTGCGGAGATTGCACCATAATCTTCACATCCCTGAGGGTTTGTGAAAGTCATGAGGGAACCCGGGGAAGCGATATGAGGCATATATTATGTGTCATTTGTGAGTTCTTCCATGATGGAGATGGAATTATAGAGTTGAACTTCCTTTGGAACAACAAACAACAGTTTGTAGCTTGATCAGGGTGCATGTAAGCTAAAAAGGGGTTTTGATCTTTTAAAGGTTGAGACCGCTGCTCTACAGTGGTTTGTTGGTGGTGGGAAGAAAGGGAAAAAACCATTGCTCTCGCTTCTGGAGCAAATTTCTGGAGTAACCAGAATAGCAACTCAACATTTTTATTTTAAAATTCCTCCTTTGGAGATAACCTCATGAGATTTACATTGTATTTGTCCGAGGCTCCTGAGTAGGGAGTTGCAGAGTGCTACTCAAGCGCATCAGAGCCATGTGAACATTAATTTGCAAAATGCTCGCCTTGGACCTAGAGGCAACTGAGAACAATTGTTCATGAATGGATGGACTCAGAAATTCTGAAACACACAGTTCTGTCATTGAATGCATTGCATTTTCTGCTGAGAGTGGAGTCTGAGGGTTCCACCATGCTAGGTGTGAATCTAGTATAAACATGAAAAAATAAGAGTCATTTGGATGATGGTGTGTTCCACTTAGCAGCAACCTATAGTGTTTCGTTTGTTTGTTTGTTTTTGCTCAAAGAATAAATCTGTCCAAAGCTCATCTGCTGAATTGGGATCTATGAGCCTTTTAATAGGATTTTTGAAAGGGAGTGGAAAATTTACAGCTCCTTATAGATAGCCTGACATGAAAGTTAAGGTCAGTGGTGTTTTGTTCAGCCGCTCCATCCAAGTCGAACCCACGGGCAGGGATCTGTTTCGTTCTCATTTAATAGTGTTAAGTGCCAAACTTTCTCTTTCTCAGGTATAGTCTTCTAATCTCGTGGTGGTGTGACAAAGTTCTATTTACCATGTAGGTACTTACTGCATATTATGATGATTTAAGATGTAGTTGGTCCTTGAGATGGTGATTGGTCCCCTAACCTGATGCCTCATTCAGGGTTCCTTATCAGGGAAAAGCATCACCTTATCCCAGTGGTATAAGTCAGAATCTTGGGAGTCATCCTTGAATCCTCTGTTTTTTCCATCCTTATTCATAATGAATGCAGGACCAGGTCCTATCAATTTCACTTCTTAAAATATTTTTTGAAGCCATCCATTTCTCTCTCGATGGCCGTCACTCCAATCTACGCCCTTGTCATATCTGCTTGGACTACTAAAGAAGCTGCCTCACCTTCAACCCGTGTCCTCGTTCAAAACCTGCATCTCTGAGACCGTCACCGATTTCCCCTTGTTCTTAGGCTGGCAACCTTACCACTGTCGTGGACAAGAAGGCCCTGCCGTCTTGTCCCTGTCTCTCTTTCTAGCCTCGTCTTGAAGGCTTCTCCCTGCCCCTTGTACTGCAGCCTCCTAGCCTCCCATGCGTCAGCACAGAGTCTCAGCATGTTCAGTTTCCTCTGGATGACTGTCTCTCCCCGGCTGTCTCTGTCTCGTCACCTTCTACTCATCCTTCCTAAGCCAGCTGGAGTGTTATCTCCTCATGGATGACTGCCCTGGTCTCCTGGTCTAAGAAGTGTTCTCTTTCTTTCTTTCTTTCTTTATTATTTTTTGAGATGGAGTCTCGCTCTGTCGCCCGGACTGGAGTACAGTGGTGCGATCTTGGCTCACTGCAACCTCCACCTCCCGGGTTCAAGTGGTTTTCCTGCCTCAGCCTCCCGTGTAGCTGGGATTACAGGTGTGCACCACTACGCCCAGATAATTTTTGTATTTGTAGAAGAGATGGGGTTTCACCGTGTTGGCCAGGATGGTCTCGAACTCCTGACCTCAAGTGATCCACCTGCCTTGGCCTCCCCAAGTGCTGGGGTTACGCCACAACGCCCGGCCGAGTGTTCTTTATTGACTGTTCTTACAGACCCATGCTCCTTCCCCTCATTGTGCTTACATTAGTTCACAGTGTATTTGTGTTGTGTTTCTTGATTAATGTCTGTCTCCCTTATCAGAGTATCAGCTGTGTTCAAGTTGAATGATGAAGAGAAATCTTAAAAAAATAAAGTACCAGCTCTGTGAGCAGGGGTCATGCCCGAGCGTGCTCACCATCCGGAGTCTCCAGCACTTGTTACAGTGCTTGGAAAAAGTAGTTGCTGAATACGTTTGTTGAGTGAATAAATGGCTGTTTACTTATTGAATGTTTAGGTAGAAGAAGAAGAACCCACTGGATACATTCGATTCGAAAAATTTCTTCCGGTGATGACAGAAATACTACTAGAAAGGAGGTAAGTAAGTAAATGCAATTGTTAAGGCAAAGTAATGGTTTGAATTATGAATCCGTTCATTTCAGGATGCTTGACTTTTTCACTTTGTATGTTATACTCAACCAGTGTATCTTAAGGTGGCCTCCCTCTAACCTTTCAAGATACTTCTGAACTGCCAGTTGGTACATGCTTAGAAATATCAACCACATTAGTGTTATCCTAAGCAAAGCATAATTAGAGGGTAAATAAGCTACAAAAATCGTAAATCAACATTCTTATTATCTTCTGTTTTCAATTATCAATGATAAGTAAGAATCCTAACATTTTTCTAGCAAAAATATAGCATTAGCTTACGATAGTTCATTCATCATAGAATTCTTGTGCCCAGATAAATTGATTTCCAAAAAGCGAATAGATAACCTCAAACATGTCAGTGATTTTGCACTAAGTATTTCCTGTGGGGCTGAGGTATTTCAACTTTCATATCCAGAAATCCAAAAAGATTTCAGTGAGGTGAGTATTATCCCAGTATATCAGCAGCCTTTATTTTATTTTTTATTTTATTTTATTTTATTTTTTTGAGAGGGAGTTTCACTCTTGTCACCCAGGCTGGAATGCAATGGCACCATCTCCACTCACTGCAACCTCTGTCTCCTGGGTTCAAGCGATTCTCCTGCCTCAGCCTCCCGAGTAGCTGGGATTACAGGTGTATGTATGCCACCACGCCTGGCTAATTTTTGTGTTTTTAGTAGAGACAGGGTTTCATTATGTTGGCCAGTCTGGTCTCGAACTCCTGACCTCAGGTGATCTGCCCACCTCGGCCTCCCAAAGTGCTGGGATTACAGGCGTGAGCCACTGCGCCCAGCCCTGTTTTGTTTTATGTGGTCATTTATTACAGGGGTCCCCAACCACCAGGCCAGGGACTGGTTGCACGCTTCTTATGAGAATCTAATGCCCGATGATCTGAGGTGGAGCAGTTTCATCCACAACCCATCCCTCCCCCTCCTGGGTCTGTGGAAGAATTATCTTCGGTGAAACTGGTCCCTGGTGCCAAAAAGGTTGGAGACTGCTGATTTCTTATGTAGAGACTGCGGTAAATACTGTGGCATTTACTCATTTTATTGCATAATTATAGATACAGACCAATTCCAGAAGATGTCCTTCTTCGAGCTTTTGAGGTATGTGAACTCCGGCTTCTGTGCATAGACATACATGTAAATACATATTCTTATATCCACATGTGTGTGAAAAATTCATCATGTAGAACTTAATTCACCAAATGAAAAAATATAACACCTCTCTTTTCTTTTCCCCTAGGTTTTAGATTCAGCTAAACGTGGGTTTCTTACTAAGGATGAACTGATCAAGTATATGACTGAAGAAGGTAAGCATGATTTATTACTTATCACAGTGACTTTTGTGAGGAATTAATAATTTGTTAACAGTTATGTGGAAGTTATAGGGGATACTTTAAAATCAGTTGTTCTGGTTAAAAAGTTATTTACTGTTCCTACTCTTTTGGCTTGGGGATGGTTTCTGTTCTGTGGGGGTTAAGAAGACAAAGAGTAGGGAAAGGGGAGATGGGTTGTTGTCTCGTAGGATTTTGTGAAGCATAGTGATTACTTCTATAATTTCCGGCATTCCATTCAGAGCGTTTCCAGAATAAAAGATATGCCATGTGGAAAACATGAACTATCAATCACTGTAAATTAAGGCCTCCTCCTAGATTGAAGATTTGAATAGAAGTATATAAAAATTCCCTTTTTTTTTTTTTTTTGAGACAGAGTCTCACTCTCTTGCCCAGGCTAGAGTGCAGTGGTGTGATCTCAGCTCACTGCAACCTCCGCCTCCCGGGTTCAAGTGATTCTCCTACCTCCGCCTCCTGAGTAGCTGGGATTACAAGCATGGGCCACCATGCCCAGCTAATTTTTGTAGTTTTAGTAGAGATGGATTTCACCATGTTGGCCATGCTGGTCTCGAACTCCTGACCTCAGGTGATCCATCCATCTTGGCCTCCCACAGTGCTGGTAAAATTTCCTTTTTAAAGAGCTTTTCTGTCGGTGAAGTTACAGCTAATGTAACCTCAATTGAATACTGAGGTCATTTTTAACACTAAAAATTTCCTTTTTTAATGTTAATTGAACCATATATATTTGTTTCGAACATGGCCCATCATACATATATGCATACACACACACGTAAAACCTGCACACTTACATACATGCCAACGTATTTCCTTTAGGAATTCTTTCTGCTAGGCTGATGTGTAAAGTTGTTTACCCTGAAGGTCAGTGGCCTGATGGACAGTCTCCTGAAGCCAGCCTCATATTGGTCACCTTGCCTTCTCCCATACAGAGCTAGAGCTCCCTGGTTCACACATTGAGTCCTGAATGACTCAGTTGCTGATCACTTGTGACAGAATCAAAAGTGCAAGTAATTTGGAGTAGGGAAGACTAAGACTGCATCTACATGCATGACTGGTTTGACCATCCCAACTTGATCCATCTTTAGACGGAACACAGGGAGTGAGGGTAAGAATGCCACGACCATCAGAGCTGCCACCCAAGAACTCTTATGCCGTTGTTAAAATTATCTTAGGGATTAATTTTGATGGGAATGTTACAACTTTCAAAGCATCAGCTTCTTAATCCTAAGGATTAGTTTAAAGAAAGTAAATCCTAGGTTATGTATTAGGCAACATGAGTTTAGTCAAAATGGCTCAAACAGTTAGCTTTTCCTACTGTTGTGTGCCTACTGTATGTTTAGGATTCAGTAAGTGTAGTAAGGTATAATGATACTGAAATCTTCCTCTCTCAAGGATATTACAATCTTATTGGGGAGATAAAACTAACATAAAATAATTCACAATACAAGACAATAGAAAAATCAATATCAGAAGATCAACCAGGGCCGGACCAGCCTGGAAAGCTCGGTCTGGGAAGACTTAAAGAGAAAATAGGTTTTTTGAGAGGGTAGGATGTATATGGTTAAGTTGAGGGCAGAGGTAAACTCTGATACATTTTAATTCCCTCACACACGGTAGATCTCAACAAATGTTTGTTGAATGAATGAATGAATGAATGAGTAGATGATGAAGACCAGGTGAAGGGGCTAATGAGAGGGAGACATTATTGATATGTAAAACAGTCTGAACAAAAATTGGGAGGTAGGAATGAACATGCTATTTCAGAGAGAAAATAAGCCCAGCTGGCCCAGAGGATAATGTTGGCAAACAGCGGGAAATTAACTTCAGTAGATTTACTAGGACTAAATTGTGGAGTCCCAGGCTCAGGAGTTTGGAATTCACCTGTGGGCAATGGAGAAGTATTATAGGCTTTTAAGCAGATGAGTCACATGGTGTATGAGTGATTGTGAGAAGGTTTTTCTGGTGCTGGTCGGTTTGTTAGATGCATGAGAAAGAGGTTGGACTAGGGAGGCCAGTTAGAAGGTTATTTCAGCATCTGAAGGCACCCAAATAAAGGCCTGACCTGGCAACAGAAATGGCAATGGGGAGAAGGGATTGGTACAGTAGGACTGTCTGTGGCAGGATCCATGGGTCATGATGAGTAACAGAGTGTAGGTGACAAAGATGAGAGCCGAATCAAAAATAACATCAAGGCTCTGCCCTCAATGACAAATATTATGGTAACGCTACTGACTAAAACAGAAAAGTCAGAACAGACTGCAGTGTATACAGAGATGGTGCAATCACGTGGTTTACTTGGAGGACTGTGTGATAATTTCGAAAATGATATGTTTACAGATAGTTCATGGTACTTAAAGATCACCTATTGAGTATCTCAGTGGACTAAGCATAGGACAGGTATTTTCAAGTAAGAATATATATGGTTTCAATTATTCATTCAACAAGTGTTATTACAAACCTTCTACATATATGAACCAATATGTTTGGAAGTAATATGTAAGATGTAAATTACTATGCAAATCTAAGTTATGATTTAATATAACGGACCCATCAGCTAAGTGTAATAGCAGTTGACTAGTTTGGTAAAATAGGTGCTTAAGAATTGCTAGTTTGAGAGCCTCAGAATTCTACAAATTGTTTTTAAGTAAATTTATGCTTCATAGCAATATAGATTCAAGTTACTTGCACGCGCTTCATAATATTCACAAAGTATCAGCTAGTTTGAGAATATGCATTCTTACAGCCCAGGATGTCATATGATAAACAAAATAAATCACATTGAATCAAGTTCCTACAAGATAGAAGTCCCTAAGTGTCCAGGAATGTGCATTGCATCAGACAGTGTTTAGCAGGAGGGAAGATCTCAGAACAAGTTTTTAAACAAACACTTACATGTTGCTGCTTATATGCTAGGTACTGTTCTACATCCCATTCAAATCACAACACATTTCATCCTCATGACAACCCTGTGTGATAGGTAGTGTCATTATCACCTCCATTTTATAGACAGGTAAACTAAGGTGTGGGGCAGTTAAGTGACTTGCTCAAGACTTTAGAGCGAGTAAGAGGCAGCCAGCATGTGAATCCAAACTTGTGCTTTAACCATGCGGTGATTTTCCTTCCATCTTTAATCAAATACTGGGGCTTCAGGTTGATCCTCTGGTAATCTCAAAAGTTTTCATCTAAATAAATAACCTTGTTCGTGATATCTGTGTGTCTTCCTACCGTTTTGCCTGAAATGACGCGTTCTAGAGGTTGCTTGATCTGTGACATCTGCAGGCTGAAAGAAGTCCAGAATCTGCCAGGGTGTACAATAGCCTTCTCTTTGAACCTCTGGACTGTCGTGATATCCTGGCTCTGCAGCTCCAGGGAGTGTAACTAGTGACAGTGTGGGAGTTTGTGGCTATTAAGCTGACTAGTGGAAAGAGAAAGAAAAAAATCAGATGATCATAAATGATAAATTTTCCTTTTTGTCTCTCTGAGGTGAGCCTTTTTCTCAAGAGGAAATGGAAGAAATGTTGTCTGCTGCAATTGATCCAGAATCAAATTCAATTCATTACAAGGACTATATAACAATGATGGTGATAGATGAAAATTAAATGTTCTAAAGATAATTTCTAATTGAAAGGACAATGTTAGAAATTGCTTCTCCATGTTAATTTCACATCTGAGATAAGAGAATCTAAGGAATCTTAGGATTCCTATATGTGATATTTAATACCTTGTGACGTAACTATTTCTATTTTGAGATACTTTGTTTTTAAAGATGATCATAACACTTTAAAACAAATTTAGTATGTCTAGTCTTAGAGAATGATAAATTACTCTTTATTTAAAAACTATTCTTAAAACATTTTAACATTAGAATTGATTATTATATTCTGTAATAAAACTCAGGTAACCTTCAAATTAAGTAAGCTGACAAAATGAAAATGACTGTAATGACCCAAGGTTTGACATATAAAGATCTTAAGAGGGGGCAGAATGACCAGCAATTGACAATGAGTAGCAATATAATGAAGGCTTCCTTTTTCAACAATAACAAATGCTTCATCAATCTGAGTGTGGAAGGAGATTTATCAAAATAAATATTAATTGATTTTTTATGAGTGCCAATTACGAATGTCATTTGGGATTGTAATAACTGAGTGTAAACATTTATATTTGCTGATCCAGCATGTCACCATTTATGGAGTAGCTAAAGGAGTTGAGATCATTGAAACTAGAGAAAAGAAGGCTGAGTGGAAATTCATAGTGTAAGGTAGTGGCAATTCTCTCTTTGTCTTTAGAATTGTCACCTACTCGGTATATCTGTCATGGGAATATTGTCCTGAATACTGAGTAAGAATACTGAGAAATGTTTTGGTGTGCAAATGTGCAGCTCCTGAAAGAGCAGAATGAAGGACGCCTCTGAGCACAAGCAGTCACAATGGAAAAATAGTCACTATATGGCAACTTACAAGCAAAGGGGAAGATAAGGTAAAGGAGAATGAACACTTTTCCCAACTTAGATATTCTTTTATAACAATACACACACACACACACACACACACGGATCTCTATTTAAAGATGGCTTTACCACCGTATGTGTGTATCTACATAGATGGAAACGTTTCATGTTGCTGGGAGCCTTCCTCAGGCATGCTGTCTTGCCTCCGAAAGATGCAGCTGCTACCCAAGAGACTGTCACTGTTCATTCATTCATGAAACATTGAATGAGTATCATGAGATAATGTGCTAGGAACCAGAGTCCCTAACGAATCCAGGTCCCAGTTTAGTGAAGGAAGCCTGCAAGTCCATCAGCAGCCACATTTCAGACAGGGGCACGTTCAGGGTACCGTGGAAGTACAGCAGAGGGGCAGCTACTTGGCCGTGCAGGGAGGGAGCTTTCTGCGAGATGAAAGGTGCCAGTGAGCAGAGAACGCTTCCCAGGACAGGAAACACCTGACTTTAAAATGAGAAGTTTAGTAAGTGGGCAGCGGGGCACAGGGCATTTCAGCAGGTGAGCGGCAAGTCCAGAAACCCTAGAGGGGTCATGAAACATGGAACCACCTGGGAATTGAAAGCAGCTCAGTATGTTTGGAATGTAGGAGATTTGGGGGTCATGATGAGAGGTGAAACTGGAGCGGTAAACAGGAGCTGTATCATTAAGAATATCGGGTTAGGTGTTGAGTTAAGGTTTCAGCGTGAGAGTTTGGACTTTATTCTGAAGATCACAGAGAAAGATCATTTGTAAGCAGCAGGGAAAATAGATTTGATAGGTCAAGACTAGAAGTGAGACCCGTTTGTAGGCCATTTGGTTGGTGGGAGGGGATAGACTGAGAAAAGTCAAGCATGAATCCCAGGTTTCTGGCTCAGACGATGGGTAAAAGTGCCATTCATTCAGATAAGAAATCTGAGGAGCAAGTGGGGCATTGGTAAGCAAAATGGTGAGGTTGGGTACAGACACCTTTGGAGCTCAGCATGTAAGCAGCTTGAAAGGAAAAGAAGAGAGTCTAGAACAAAACCATGGGGAACATCAGCATTTACGGGAAGGCAGAGGAAGAGGAGCCCACAAAAGAGACTGGGAAGGAGAAGCCTGAGAAGAGGAAAGCTGGAAAGAAGTATCTTGGATGCCAAGATCAGAGACAATCGCAAGGAGGGGGCAGTGGCCATGCCAGATGTAGTGGAGAGAAGAGGGAAATTAAAGACGGAAAAAACGTCCGTTGGTGGTAGCAAGGAAGAGTTCTTTGAGGGCCTCTCCCAGAGCAGATGTGGGGAAGCAACAGGGTATAGAGTTGAGTGTGGATTGAGGAAGGAATGGATGTGAGAAGGTTGCAGCCTGGAGGACAAGTTACTCAGCAGTGAAGAGAAGGAAACAGACAACAGGCTGGGGGAGTGATTTTTGGAAGATGGGCAGATGTAGCAAGTTCATTTCTAGTCCGAGGGCTGAGAGCCCGCAGAGAGGGTGAAGGGAGGGGCCGGCTTCCAGAGCAATACAGAGATTTAGGAACAGTGAACCAACGCCTGTGGTCCCTACCTCATGGCCTCTACCGCCTTTTGGAGAGGAAGGTAGTAGGTTACAGAGCTTGAAGAGAATGGTGTAACTTTAGAATATCTCTTGTGGGAAATGGGAAAAAGAGTTGAGAGAGCCCATGCAAGGATTTTCAAGAAACTCTGGAAGATTTTGTGCTCAGGAGCAAAAAAGAAAAGAAAAAAGGTAGATTGTTCTACCAGGGTTAAGCTTTGTCATGTGGGTGAGGTGGAAGGAGCCAAAGGCCGAGGAATCTGCAAGAACACAGTTCCGAGGGTGTCCGTGGCTAACATGTTAGGGAAAGACCCAGGCAGGAGGACTGGCTAACAGATGGGAGGGTTAGAGGACTCGGGGCTCTAAAAGGGCAAGTGGCTGGTGTTGGTAGCAAGGGTGGTCTTTCCTACCATTCCTGAGTGATAATACGTTTCCTTTGAAATTTGACTTCACTGTGTTCTTAGAGCGTTTCTTTTCTTCTCCTGTGTTATTATATGAATAAATAGTAAGAGTGGCTGATGTTTGTTGACTGTTGTCTGTGTTGCAGGCACTGTCCTAAGTGCTTGACTTACATGAACTCATTTCATCCTCACATCCACCACCGGTGTAGGTGCTGTTAAGTTATCCCCATGTTGCAGAGGTGGCAATCAAGAAGTTACACAGCAGTAAGGGACTGTATCAGCTTTTTCTAGGTTATGTTGTGATAACAGAACTCCCAAAGTCAGAGGTTTACAAGGATAACACTTATTTCTGTTGATGTTTTTTTGTCAGCTGGGGTCATCTGGGACTCTGCCCTACATGTCTTTGTTCTACTCATGGCCTGGAGAAGTAGGATGTCCTGCTGGACGTCTGTCCTGCTTTGCCTGGGGTAGTCCCAGACTACACCCGTCCCAGTGTAATTATTAACAGGTCTCCTTTGTACTCTTAGAAATGTTCCAGTTTAGATGATTAATATGTGGTCATCCCATTCAAAAAATAGTGAGTAAAAACGAGGCGAGGAATCGTCACTTCTGGAAGGCTTTCTGACGAATAATTCCAGCAATGGTAACAGCGGAAGGCATTTCTTCCTTCTCTACTGTGCCAAGATCATTTTTCACCCCTAGGATTACCTGAGATTTTCCCAAGGTAAAGTCCAGATGAGAACTGATGTGCCGCTGGCTTGACCGCGCATGTCAGAATCACCAGCCAGAGATGAGGATGAGCCACATGCCTTCAGGACAGGGCGGAGATGGAGGAGGAGAGGAGTGTGGTGACCCTCAGAACATCAACAGACAGGCTGTTTATGATGGGAACACACTGCAGCTGGGAAGGAGGGTGGCCGAGATATGAAATACCCTTCAAGGTGGACGCATACCCAGGGGCATATCATTTGGTGGCAGGGGCCAGCACGGACATGCAGCATTGAAGCCTGTGCTACAGCCTAATGCGTCAGCCCAGGCACAGACTTGTTTGGAGCACACAAAACAGCTCTGAGTTAAGTCCTGTAAGCCATTAAAGAAGTACGGTCTGGTGAATGAACCCTAATCTCGTGATGATCAAGTGATGACATCATATTCTCTCTCCGAGGAGACGCCGTCATGCGCAGAAGGCAGTAGAGGAAGGTTGCTTCGAGATTGCGTGCCGCCCCAGGCCCCGTCTTCGAGGATTCTTTCAGAAGTTCTGACTGATGTTCAACTTCACATCTTGTCGCACGGGAATCTTCTCTGTTTAGTGTCATAAAGTTGGCTTTATGGAATGTAATTCATTTTTATCTTTAGCACAAATTTGTCTGTTTAAGGCCACCAGAAAGCGCAACATAGACTCCCCACAGAAATCTCACTTTATCTCCTAAGCTGCAGAATAAACGTACCTTGTTTGCAAACGGAGCATTTTTCTTTACACTCAAATCACTTCAGTGTGTATTTTGCCTCTTCAGCTCACCGACCTTGCCCTCAGCATCTGATGTAAATCACCGTGCCAGTTCCTGACTGGGAGAGTGCTTAGTCCCTTGCGTGGGAAGTTTGCTTACCCTCATGACTCCTGGCTTCTGCAGAGCCTGCCATACCCCACAGCTTCGCCGGACCCTGTGGAAAGCCGTCTCTGTTGTCACGCTGCTGGGGAAGGTGCGTGACTCAGGGCCCGACACACAGGCCTGAGGGTCCGCGATCTTGCGCTCTGCTCCCAGCTCCATGTGTGACTCACTCTGGGTCAGGCGCTTCCCTCCTGTGCGCCTCTGTCTGTCAAATAGAGAGCTCGGCTCTGTCCTTCTCCCTCCTGAGAAGAAGTGCAGAGATTCAGTCCCCTTTGCAGTCACCCAGTGTCTAAGTGCCAAACGCCTAAAAGACACAACAAAGAGTCTAAGATAGCAGGCTAGTTGGGATGACGACTGTTCGGTAAGGGCAGGAGTATTTTCTGTGGGATGGAATGTGTTTAGATCTTTGTCTCCTACCTTCCCATCTTCCTTCCTTTCCGTTTTCTAAATCCTTTCATATAAGAAAGTGCCGTGTTTATACAGGCAGTTCCCTGAAGATCAAGGGTTACTACCTTACCCTCCTGGGCTGCTTAAATAAACAGAGAGCCTCATGGTCGCGCGTGCTCCCCTCGTGCCAGGCATGGTGGCTGCCTCCTAGGCCTGCGTGTTTCTGAAAGCGTGGTTGCCAGTCATCTGCTTCAGGAGCATCCGGAGGAGGGTGTTAGAAATCGGGGGTGTGCCCCGTTCCAGACCCCTAAAACAGAATGTCTGGAGGTAGGGTCCAGGAAGCTTTAACGTTCTCAGGGGAGCCTTATGCACGCTTGTGTGTAAAAAGCACTACCTGGGGCTCTGATACTGAATGCAAGTGTGGGATTTGGAGTTAGGCTCTGCTCCTTACTGATTACGTGATTGGCCCAGACATTTAACATCGCTGAGCTTCCCCGGAAGTCGAGGCTGTGGTGAGCCACGATTGCGCCACTGCACTCAGCCTGAGTGACAGAGCCCTTGTCTCAAAAAAATCAAAAAATATTGCTGAGTTTCTTCATCTTAATTTGTAAAGTGGAAAAATCACTTTTCTGGGCTGGCGTGAAGATTAAATGAAATAATAAAAGTGAAAATGTTTAAAAAGCTGTAGGCTCTGACACAAATTATTATTTACAGAAAGCCAGCTAGGCAGAGAGGGAGAGAGAAAAAGAGAGGGAGGGGCGGGGTGGAGATCTGCTGCCTGGGTATGGACAGAGAGGTGGGGAAGTAGGTAGATAACAGAAAACTAATTGGAGAGAATGTGCGCGTCCCTGGGCTGCTGGTGGGGAGACACCCGACGTGTGCTGTCATGGTGCTATTAATTATAAGGCGTTAAGTTTCTTTCTAGAATGTGAAAATAGGAGGCTTTAAGAGGTTTCTTTTTTTCTTCTGCTTTTAAAAATGTGCTATCTGTCACGGTACTTTTAGAGCAGCAGGAATTATTTACCTCATCTAGTGGAGAAAACACTCCTAATCATTTGAAGAAACTGCTATTTTTCTTAAAAAAGAAAAATCAGACCAAGCCCAGTGGCTCACGCCTGTAATCCCAGTACTTTGGGAGGCCGCGGTGGGATCATGAGGTCAGGAGATCGAGACCATCCTGGATAACACGGTGAAACCCCGTCTCTACTAAACATACAAAAAACTAGCCCGGCGCGGTGGCGGCGCCTGTGGTCCCAGCTACTCGGGAGGCTGAGGCAGGAGAATGGCGGGAACCTGGGAGGTGGAGCTTGCAGTGAGCCGAGATCGCGCCACTGCACTCCAGCCTGGGCGACAGAGCGAGACTCCGTCTCAAAAAAAAAAAAAAAAGAAAGAAATCTCAGAAGAGGCTTCTAAGCATTTATCACCAAACTCAGGAAATGTACTGCAGTATGGTTGGGTATTGCATGACTTTAAATCTGGCTTTTAAGCACGTCAAGATGTGTTTCCATGCTCTAAACGCCTAGTTTTCAAATGTCTGGCTGGCTGGTAACATTCCTGGTTACCAACTCAAGGCATGGTCCGTACTTAGGCAGAGCTTGTTGTTAATGAGAATAGAGGTAAGTCTACTTTCCAGCTAGTCTTGATAATGTTTAAGTTTTTTAGTTCTTCTTTATCAAATCCGATAAGCCTGTCTGTTCTTACCCAACACGACGCAGAGCTCATCCTGGTGGAACTGTCGCCCCCGCCATTCTCAGGAAACCCCCCTGCGTTGGGATTATCTTCAATTCAAGGTTACTTTTTAGGAAACTTTTTAAGTCTCTTATCAGTTTTTGAGGGCTGATGTCATTACAACCAAATCACATCTGTAAATCCCTCGCTCAGTGGGCCGCCTGTACAATTAGTGATTGCACGGAAATAAACAAGATGGAATCAGTGCACAAGCGAAGGCTCCCCGAGCTTCCTTCACGGCGGCTGCCTGCCTTCCTGATACGTGCGTTTCTGCCGTGTGGACCCAGGGAGGATGTCAGTGAGATTTAACTAACACAGAACCTAAATATAAATTAAAACAAATCCTGGTTTTCTTCCTGAACCCTAAGGAGTCATCTTGCATTCCCTGCAGGGGCACCTCACTCTGAGATGGCTGCTTTAGAGAACCTTCCCAGGAAAGGCCCTTTGGGAAAAACGATGTAAAGTATAAAATACTCTAACAATTACTAGAGTGGCTCCCAAGCAATAGATACTAAAGAGAAATTGGAAAATGCCAGTAAACAAAAAAGAAGAGGAAAACACCCTCATTCCACAAAAGTTACCCACCCTTACTAATGCTTTGCTTCATCTCTTCTGAAAGCTTTTTCCAGGGATGTGTCTCTCTGTAGAACTTCTTTAAAATATCACTGTGGAACCTATCAGTTAGGGTCCTTGACCATGAGGACAGAAAGCAGGACTCACTGGAAGGCACCTGGGCTGAGGAAGGGGTGCTTACAGAGCCTACTGGGGACTGGGCCACCAGGCTCAGGCTAACAGGAGCCAAGGGGGCATCGGAGGGCAAAGAAGCATGGTGTAAGAGGATAGCAAACATCACATAACCGGAACGGCCCGTCCAGGGCCGCTGCTGCAGGGGACGGCTTTGCACTGCTTCAGGTTCAAGGCCTGCAAGACACAGCCTGCTAAGCTGAGCTCAGTCTGGCCTGGGCAGGTAAGGGCGGACCTTGTTTCTAGGCAGCCATGTGGAAGGCAGGAATCCTCCAACCACCAGCTATACCCCACTGGAGGGAGCAAATACTCTGGTAAGAAATCAGGGTACTATTGGGGAAGAGAAATAGATAAATAACAAACATGACAATACTACAGGATCAGACCATATATGCTATTATGTAATCTGCTATTTTAAGTGAATACATAATGAACACTCTTTCCATGATAATGTATATTCACCTAAAACATAACTTTGAGTGACTGGATAGTATCTAATTGTTTGGCTATACCTTAATTAATTAATTAATTTAGAGACAGGTTTTGCCGTGTCACCCCAGCTGGAGTGCAGAGGCACGGTCATAGCTCACTCTAGCCTCGAACTCCTGACCTCAAGCAATCCTCCCATCTTGGCCTCCCAAAGAAC